TGTTGCTCAAAAATCAACGATATAAATATTGTGTGTATGGGGGGGGGGGGAGATCATAGGGGCAACTCCGAAGAAAGTTGGACATCAGGGAGCAACATAAGTATACTTTTTTGGTAAGGGAAGATGTTTCGTATACCCAGCAACGACTGCCACATCAGATAGGATTAAATTACGAAAGGGGATAGCAGAGAAATCGGATACACAGCAGGATAAGCTTCGTGGGGAGGTTGTTTGCAGTAAGTGCCTCCCGCTTCCTTGGAAATGGTCCGAGGGTCATGTAAACGGAGAGTTGCGGACAGACAAGAGCATAACCACCGGTTAAATGTTAAACCTAACCTAATGGGGCATTGTGTGGCTCACGACACCATATCCTGGGGCTTAGGTTGCCGTCACTGAACAGTAGATCTTCGCGACTATGCGGTCCACTCCGTCTAGTGGTCATTACACAAATACGTTTAATACAAAATAATAACGACACCAGTGAACGTCTTCAGGTCTCATTTTTGCAAGTCGGAGTGTTTGAACAGGCATGTCAATACAGTTGGGCTGTGCACTCTTTGGGTTGACAATTTTGGCCAATCTTCTTTCCCTTCTCTTATGCATCATTTTTAAATTTTACATATCGCGAGCCTGAAATTGATCAGTAAAGTATACCCCCATTGCATTGTTTTAAGTATGGTTAAATGACTATTGCTTTATCAGTGCGGCTGTTCAACCCGACGAATTGGTAAACACAATCAGAGAACAGAAGATAAACAACGATCTAATGTTTTCTCTATTGTGGTGTCATTATACAAGAACGTTCTGCTCATGGAAACGGTTGACTTGATCCGTGGAACCGATATAAAAGTACCGGTAGGAAAACTAAGAGTTGCTCCTGAAGTGCACTTTCGACGTCGTTTGTATTCAATGGAAAACTGTACCGTCGGAGAGATGGTGTCACTATGGGCTCTCCACTACGACCGATATTAGCAGTTGTGTTTATAGCCAAATTGGAGCACTCGGTCCTGGAGTCCGAAATTAGAAAGATCAAATTCTATGATCGATACGTCAACGATATATTTTGCATAACCAACAAAGAGAACGATTCATTCTACATCACTCAAACGTTTAACAAGGTTCACCCTCGAGGAAGATAACAAACTAGCATGCCCTGACTTGGCTCTGCACAGGAAAACTGATGGACTGTTTGAAAAAAGGGTAAACCGAAAAGAAACGTGGACCGAACAGTACACCAACTTTCACAGTTTCGTGTCACTTAGACACAAGATAAACCTTATTCAGTGCCTCATATGCTCCTAATCCACGTTCGCAAACGAACTTGATGAGATTAAAAACATTATAGGGGGAAACGGATGCCCTGAAAGGTTCATCGAAAGAAACACAGAAGAAAATCCGGAGCACGAGCCCGTAAAGGAAGCTCTGAAGAAGCTGTTTATTAAACTGCCATTCAAAGGAGACAACCTGCCTGATTCAATTAGGAGCGCGTGCTGTGAGAGTAACCTTTAGTGCAGCCAGTTTGTCATGCGTATTCACAGGCTCACCAATAATGGGAAAACACAATAAAAAGAATTTACCTACGCGGACCTTATCTATGGTTACCTATTACTTTAGCTACGTTTGTAACCCAACCTACATTGGCCGAACGGCGAGGCAATGGTTTCAATGACAAATTAAAGAGTACCGTCCACAGTGGCTTCAACGTGGTGGAAAAAGCGTCACAGAAAGCGCTATACTCGCTCACCTAGCAGACTCAGGTCATCATCATCAGGATTATTATACATTGGATTTTCATAGCGTTAAAATGCATAGCCGCCATTTTATGCCGTGAAACAAGGTGTGTGTATGAACTCATTGCATGAGTTTGAATGTTAGACTCACGGAGTTAACTAAACATAAGGTATTATAAAACGCACTGCCCCAGCGATTCGTTTCAAATCTAGAGAGAAAATTTTCTGTAACAACTATAACAACGCGAGCCGTCACTAATGAACACAAATGAACCACAGAACTCTGGGTATTTGCACGTTGAAATCAGAGGAATTATGAAGAAGAACTTGTGTTAAACTGACAACTGGCATGAGGGTGTGAAAACCCTAACCAGGAGTCTGGGTCACATAGGTCCCGTTAGACTCCTTGGATGGGGACCTCGAGATGGTCGTACCCGATGGTTAGAGACACTGAATGATATGGCTGAGTGTCGTAAACAGTGGTGTTCGTGCTCTCTTTTCAATTTCTCTGCACCATTAGTTCACAAAAATTCTAAATTTTCTCTTTGATCCTACTTTCAACCTTTCCTGTCTTTCTCCTAATGTTCATCCAAATGGGCAGCCGAAAGACAGCAACCAAAATCGGTGCACGATAGTGCATGGTTAATGGTTGTACAAACTGAAACTGAAACTTGTGCCACACATTACACTGTGAATATGAGGTCTAAACTGAGACGGATAGTGGATGACAAACTTTGTTCAGCAATCTTTCTTATACCGTTGTGAGAAATAATCTGAAGATTGATTTGGTTCATTTAATCGTCACAGAGGGAATGGATAAAAGTTCATTTATAAGAGGGTTGCCAACAGCGTAAGCTCCACTTTGAGTGGTATCAAAATATTAATAAGCAGCCGTTCCGCTGACCTTTTAAAAGTCAGTGAAGCGTTGCTTACTCGGTTACACAAAAGTCGTGGACGCAAACAACCCAGTTACCACGGTGTTCACCGTTCAATTCTAATTTCTGATAATCTTTGTTTTTATGTACACATTCAATCAATGCGATTGGTCAAACCAATGTGATATGTGTATGCCAGTTTGTTTTGCGTCAGTGATCACGGGGAGCAAACAAAACGGATAAAGGGGACTCAATGGTTTAATTTTTTCCAATTAGCGTGACATACAATCCCTAGTTAATTTGAATAACTAAACATTATATGTATATATATATAAACAAGGTGTGACGAAAATACACTTCCTGGATACAAGTATACGAATGAACTGACAAAAGATTATCGGATACGCATGCCTGACGAGCGGCAAGAACTGCGAAACCGGTCGTGTGCTTCCAGGGGAATTCGGTCCACTCATGCACATACTACTTTTTATTATATATATATATTTGAAATAAAAACTGAAATTAAATCGCAGTCCTCCAAATCGAACGTCAACTAAAAAGGATTGATATTGCGTTGGCAGACGGCGGATCACCAGCACGAATGCAAGATAACCAACATGAGAAAAGCTACTTTAAGTTACAATTATCTAGTGACCAATAACTACCGGGGAATGCAAAACTTTAAAGACCGAAAACAGGCGGGCAGCCAAGAGATAGAAAATGAAAACCGAACACGAAATTGCACGGTTAATGGTTGGACAAACTGAAACTGGTCAATAAAGTGGTCAAGAGATTCTCTGAGTAGAATATTCTGGAAATAGTGTGAAGCTCGTTTGTTTAACACTCTTTACGTCGGAGTTTACTAGCCATTTTGCCAAACTGGAAAATAGTAAATGCCAAAAATACACGTTGACGACACTGTCGAAATAAGCTACTAGTATGCGCATGTTGCGGCTTACAAAAGCGGTTACTAATATCCGAAAAATTATCGAATACAAGACAAATCTGTTTTACTATGCACAGTTAGGATCTCATCAACAGATCGGTTGCAGTCAGAAGAAAAGTTGAAAAGTAAATACATGTATATTCAACAGAGTATTTCATAAATCACAATC